CTTTTATTAGGATTTTAATTTTGCCATGTAAGCAGTCTTATCCTTACTTCAAAATTAATATAAATAGAAAGAGGGGGGGGGGGCAGCAGATTAAGCATCATCTTCTTTTCTGAAATCCTTCCTTTCAAAATCTTCTTCTCTTCTTTTCTCTTTCTCCTCCCATCCTCTTAATTTCCTGTTGATTATACACCACAACTTGGGCTGTTAGTAGTCTCATACGACTACAATTGGATACACAGTCCAGAAAGTCTGGATGCAGCTGCCTAAAGGAGATGTATAGATCTCTCTCAAAGCTTCTTGAATCTCAATAAAAATTTCAGAATATGATGAAGAGGGTTGGGCGACACTTCCTTTCAAATCTTACTGCAAATTGATGTCATATGAGAGAGATCCAATGAAATCTCTTTTACTAGATGTGCAAAACATAGAGAAATGGTCCCTAGAGTGATCAAAACAGTCCAGAACCAATCGACAATGATAATAGCTCTCAAACTGATTTAGGAAAGAAGAGAAATGGATCAGAGAGCAGCCTGCTTTGATACCATGCCAGTTCGTGAGGAGATGAAAGAGCTAGAAGAGAAACACAAGTCCATATCTGTTAGGGTTGATCAATCTGATCGAACCAACCTAGAAAATATGTATTTATATTAACCTCAAGTGAATGGACAAGATTGCCCTTATAGAGAAAATAAAAGATCTGTATACACGCCTATTGCAGTACAAGAAAGAATAATAAAATACAGTAGAATTACAAAACTACCATTTATTTTCTCTACAGAAAGACCACTCTGAGGCTCATGAGATGCATGGTTGGCTAAGTTGAACTTCTTCTGGTTTAGCTTTTTGCTCTGCTGTTGTGCTGATTTCTTGCTTAGTTCTTGTTTCCACTTTGGCTTCCCATGCAATTCCCAACATGTCTTATGGGTGTGCCTGGATTTTTGGCAATGCATACACGACAGTTTATCTTCATCATGTACCTTTTTTTTTTTATTTTCCCCCTTTCTTGCTGAGCTGGTGTTACTTCTTACAGCTAAATCCATGGTCTCCCCCTCAGAATGATTCATAGTAGACCTCCTACTTTCCTCAGACTGAATCAATGAATACACCTCTTGGACAGAAGGAAGATCATTGCTGCCCAAAATCTGTACCCAAATGGGTTCATACATGGGGTTAAGGCCTAGTAGAAAAGCAAACACCTGTTGTTGGGAGATCAGCTGTTTATATGCTTTGGCATCTTTCTCACTCTCCCATTCAATGCTTTGGTAGTAATCCAACTCTTTCCAGACTGATGGTTGATGTGAGGGCAGAATAGTAAGCTGATAAAACTCTCCCCCTGCTTACATGTTGAAGATTCTGCTTGTAATTGATAAATCCTTGCATAGTGTCTGTTTTGAATATGTTGCTTTGGCTTGTTCCCATATTTCTTTTGCTGTCTCAGCCCACATGAAGTTTTGCTTGACAGATGGTAGCATTGATGTCAAGAGCCATGACATAATTATGCAGTTCTCTTGGTCCCACTTATCATATTCAGCAGTACTAGCCTTAGGTTCCTTTATTTTTCCATTGACATATCCTACCTTACCCCTGGTTGTAATATACAGCTGCATCTCCTTGGACCAACCCAAATAATTTCTTCTGTCCAAGGGGGTAATAGTCATTGGAAAATTCAAGGACTCATGACCACTGTTCATCCCACCCTGATTAGAGGTGGTTTATGTACCAAAAAAACAGATTAGAGGTGGTTCCTGAGGTTTCAAAATCTTCAGAATTCATGAATAGAGTCTATGTAGACAACACTCTTCTTCTGCAGTTCACACGCACACAGACTCACAGCCCTCACTTCTTTGTGTTAACACAAAGAACTGCTAAAACAGAATACAGCTCCTGCTGTCACACACTCTCACAGATCTGATAGACCTCTTCCAAGGCTAAGCCACAAAAAGAAAAGGTACCATTCATGCAGTACTGCTGCACCCTGTCAGCCGAACCAGGTAACTTGTGACCTACCTATACAGGTTCCTTATACATACAGATTTCTGGGTTTTCAGACCCACAAAGAGGGGTTAACTCCCCTTATACCTTTCAGTCAAGCAAAAAACTTAACCTGTTCTTGGTAGCAGTACCAAGAACCAAGAAAAAGAAAAAGGGTTAGCTTCTGTCCCTGTTCAGTCCGTGAGGTTCTGAAGTTTCCAACTCAAGTAGAAATAAAAAATGAATAACAGAATGACCACCGACCTCTTAAGAAGCTTCAGTCAATCATCTACTGATTTCTGGAATCTGTATTACTCAGTTGCAGCCAAGAAATAGAAGAAGAAGAAGATGCAGCTGAAGTGTTCTCAGATGCAGGTCGTACTTATCTCTTCCATTCTCAGTCCAAGGAACAAGTGGAAGGGCTTCGATCAGGAAGAGGAAATTTACAGAGCACTGTCCTGCTCTGATACTATATTTTCTGTCGATTAGAGGAAAGAGAGAAGAGAGGAGGATAAAGGAGAGAAGAAGAGAAGAATTGAGAGAGCCAAAAAAGTTGTGCTGGCGGTGCCGGTGCCAGACTTTATATTTATAGATTAGGGCGACCATACAATATAAAAAGAGAAGAAAAGACCAAAGTGCCCCTTGTGGCACATAGCTAATATTACATCAAAATTCTCTCTTTTTAACTTTGCATTTAATTGTACTCTCATTGACCATTACATTGTTATCAGCAAATAAACATGCCATGGGATCTCCTATTTTAAAATTTTTAGCTTGTCTATGACTAGCAAAGAGGACCTTGCGGCCCAAGCATAAAAGGAGCCCAAATAAAGTATACAAATGTACAAGAAACTCTCTTAATGGAAAAGGAACTGCAAAAAAAAAAGGTAACTGGAAAATAACAGGACATACACAAAAAGATTTGCCCCATTAACCCTTTGACCTCCTGAACAGCCTACAGACCAACACACAATCCGGCACCCAACTTCTGTACTTCAAAGTTTCCTCTCCTTATAAAGACTGTTTCCTGCCCTTGCTGTTCCTTCCTCCTCCTCCTCCTCCCTTTCCACTTCTTACCACTCTCCTTGTAGCTAGCTGTACTTCTGGAGTTAGAGCCTTGACCTCCTCTCTCTTTTTTTCTTTGATCTCTATCCCTAATCATCTCTAGCTCTTCCCAGCTAACACTTTCAGTGTCACTAATGTTGCTGCCACCTTTTCTGGCCCTGTTTGTCTCCTCATATTGAGGATTTCTTTTTTTTTTTTTTTTGATAAATAGCATATTGAGGATGTTCTTCTTCTACCTTTCCTTTTTCAAATGGCTGAACTCCTGCCCTCCAATGAAGAAAAGCTTTGTTGCTTTACAAACTTAAATCTCTGGATCCACCACTTGTTCCAAAGGAATTTCTTATTAACCTTGTAAAATTTACCCATCAAGATATCAGATCCTTCTCTTTCATTCTCTAAAGACACACTAGAGGCTTTTGACACACCTCCATTGGAGACATCATTATGCCTGGAGTGGCAGTATCACCCTCCAATCCTCTGTCAAATCTAAATGGATATGTTTTATAAGCTCAATGAGAAGTTTGAGGTGACTTATAATGTGTATCACCAGCAACTTTTTTACTTATCAAGGTCACCTGCAGCACCTTCAAATCCAATGCTAAATTTTGGTCTAAGTTCGTTTATGATTCATATAATTAAAAACATATGGGATTAAGTACAAACAGATGACCATATTGTCATCCCCAAGACACAAAACCAATATTACAGAGAGGCCGAATATAGATGCTGCTTTGCAGCCCCTTGTTTGGATAAAGTATCTGCTAGTGCGCTCCTCCTAATCCACCTGAAATCAGCATTTATATCCTTTGCTAATCTTTCCACTTCCCTTAAGATATATCTGAGGTTCCATGGAATATGTCTGTTACATCTTGCCCAAGACATAACTACTTTTGAATCCCCTTCCACTTTCACCTGTTGAAAACCCAATTTCTTTGCCAACCAGAGACCCTGCAGTAAAGCCAGTAACTCTGCCTTTATTGAGTTTGTAATGCCAACTGGCCCTGATATATAGCCAAAATCTTACATTCTGCAGTCCTGATTGCTCAACTTATTCCTCTAATGCTTTTACTCTTAAGATTTTCAAATCAGAATCCATAGTCTTATTCACCAAATATAGACTTCAATTGGTCTTAGGCATCCTCAAGAGGGACCAAAGCCCTTGCCACTCTTGTAGGCCTTGGTCCAATCATCACATCCCTCAAAGTCAGACCACTATTATTTAAAGGTCTCCCCTGACTTGGCTGATCCAGTCCTAACCTGAAAGCTGAAATCTTCATGTAAGCTGACCTGACTGGTGGAATTGTCCTCCTTGGATTTGAAATCTTAAAAGGTCTCCCCACAGTTCTAATTGCATGCAAGAATTTGGGTAGCAGCTAGAATATAGGACAAAAATATATGGGAGAAGGATAAGAATATAGGCTGGAATCGAGTTCCAAATGCTGCCTTGCTTCTTAGGCACCTATCCTGGAGACACCTTGATAATCATGCCACACATGCACAATCTCTTCTTGAAGGGTTCAGATCTACAACCTTTTGTATGTTAAATAAGGCTAAGTGTAAGAACCATGTAAGAACTTTATGAATTTCATAATCTCTTTAGGTATGTGTTCAATGTGCATGTGTAACAACCATAACTGTGAATTTCCTAATCTGTTGAGTGTGCATGATGTGTAGTAAGTATTCCTCTTGGAAATTTACTTTCTAAAAGAATCAATAATCAGCTATTTCTAGTGTGCTGATTATTTGCATTTGGCTAATGTCATTTTCCCTTCTCACTGAATCTGAGCTAAGCGGTTGAGCACTGAGGAATTTAAAGATAATGATGTATTCAAATTGGATAGTGTTCAAATACTCGGTGTTAAATAAAGTATATATAAATGACATGGGTTGGCTGTTTGAAGTTGCTATTTGTTGATTGTATTTTACTGCATGGCATTTATTCTGTGCATGACGTGTTGGACCAGTTGACAAAGTTGCTGCATTCAGACATGGAGCTTGGTCAGAATCTCATGACGTTCTTGGAGTTATTGATGAAATGAATGTGCTCTATTTTATCAAATCAAATGGAGAAGAGATAACAAGGGTAACAAAAGGGCAGCTAAAAGCACCTGTACCAATTATTGGCCTTTTTGCAGAGAATGATCCTGGTGCTAAGAGTTCCTTGTAAGTATTAGCATTTACATCAGCAGCCCCTACCCCATTCCCTAATAAAGACTAGGGTGTCAGTTTGGAAATTTTGCTTATGAGAATAGAGACATCTCACAGGTGATTTCTCAGACGTTCATACATTTCATGATGATTTTATAAGGTTTTAAGACATTTTTCCTTTCATGTGGTTGGAATTGTCTATAGGTGTAGATTCAATATTCTCACATCAGATGGTGCCCTTCACCCCATCGAGGTTAGTCGGCAGCCAAATGTATCTGTTTCTTCAATTGCAACTTCAAATAATCATTCAACTCTAAAGAAACACTTCCCTCAAGACATTTCATGTGTGGATTTCCATCCAGAACTTTCTTTGCTAGTTATAGTTGGTACCACTGAGAATTACAGAGGAAATTCTGGTAAGATTCTGTGTACAGATTTAATTTAATTTTGTGATTGATTCTTTTATCCAAGTTATTTTTGTAGGTCGTATTCGCAATAGTCCTCCAAGATTCTATTGTTGATAGTTATCACATTGTTAGCAACTAGGGTTGGGCATGTAGTTGACAAGGTAATGCTTCTGACAAGCTCTTTCTTTCTTTTCCTTTTCTTTTTAGGATCCTATTATCTTTCTCTGTGGCGAAGAACCATGAACTTAGATCTAGAGCTACTGTTCTGTAGTTCGCATTTTGAAGGCTTCTTTTCTGCACCAAAAGGTTTTGTGGGTCATTTGACAACTCCAAAAGTGCTAATGTCACCCAAAGGCAATTATGTTGCTGTCTTAGACTTGAAAGGTGGTCTGGACATTTTTAACCTGGACCATCAGTACCGCTCTCTCTCAGTTATTGATTTAGGTGAGAAAAGCTATTCAGAACAGACCAATGTTCCAAATGCAAGAAACAGATGCTTTACTGATGTCATAGATTTCACCTGGTGGTCTAATCATATTGTTATTCTTGCGAAGAGGAATGGTGCTCTAACCATGATTGACATCCCTGGTGGAATAAAACTTCTGGAGAATGATCCAGTGTTTTCTATGCCTGTTTTAGAAAGAGCCCAGCAAAGTCATGGTCATGTTTTTATTTTAGATAGTATCCCATCTAATAAGAAATATTCACAGGTTCAGGAGGAAAATGAAAGTCATGGCAGGTTTGATCAGTTAGATATTTTTAAATTTTCCTGGAGCTTGATGTCATTGTCAGAGAAATCTGTTTCAGAAATGTATAATATATTACTTAGTAGACAAGAATATCAGGCTGCCATGAACTTTGCTAATCGTCATGGGCTTGACAAAGATGAAATATTCAAATCACAGTGGCTGCAATCTGAATGTGGAAGAAATGAAATTAATATGTTCCTGTCAAATATCAAGGATCAAGGATTTGTGCTTTCAGAATGTCTGGATAAAGTTGGGGTAAGTGAAGATGCTGTCAAAGCTTTGCTTGCATATGGGCTTCACATCACAGACCAATACAGGTTTTCTGAACTAGAAGACGATGAATGCAGCCAGATTTGGGATTTCCGTATGGTTAGGCTTCAGTTATTGCAATTTAGAGACAGGCTAGAGACATTTATTGGGATAAATATGGGCAGGTATATAACCTCTATTGAAGGTACTTTTTACATGGATCAAGAATTGAACTTGTAAGCTATTTTATTTAGGTACATATAATAGTCAGCAGGTGTTTTATAGTTTTCAATTCTTTTGGTCTTCATAGGCACCTCATTTGTAACTTTGTATAATAGCAAAACTGAGATGTACAGTTTTTAAAAGAATCTGTACCTAATCAACTTTCATAAATCTCTGAAGTGTATTAGCTTTTTCACCAAAACTAGCCGTTTCCCGTTGAAATCCATATCAACTTAGTATTGATTTTATTGATAAAAAAAAACTTAGTATTGATTTCACTTAAGAGTCATATAAAATGTTTATGGAATCTGTGTTCTTCATTCTTATACTGCTAATCACAACTCCCAAGCCTTTGCTGTAGTATGCCAATTCCTCTTGCTTAATTTAATCAAAGATCAAAATTATTGGTCTTCCTTTAATTTGGTAATCTTTTTCACTAGATTGTGGCTCTAACAAATCTGGAAAAATTAACTATAGTGCCTATTACATTCTTCATATAATGTGATAAATGCAGGTGAAATATTTACTGATAATACCTGCATATGGTTTAACTATACATCTATGATTCCATACCATGCTAGGTTAACTGCAAACTATCTGCTCACTAGGAAAGTTTGGTGCAGGTTTTCTGTACAGGAATATAGCAAATTTCGGACAGTGCTTCTTAATGAAGTTGCTATAAATCTTGCTGAGAATGGTAAAATTGGAGCCTTAAACCTGCTTTTCAAGCGTCATCCATATTCATTGGCTCCTTATTTGTTGGACATTCTAGCTGCCATTCCTGAAACAGTTCCTGTTCAGACGTATGCACAGCTTCTTCCAGGGAGATCTCCTACAACTGTTTCTCTGAGGGAAAAAGATTGGGTTGAATGTGAAAAAACAGTAAGTTACATTAAAAAATTTACCAAGGATCAAGGAAGTGCCGCCAAGATTAGAACTGAGCCCATTGTTAAGCAATGCTTTGGATTTGTTTGGCCTTCAGTAGATGAGCTTCATATGTGGTACAAGAAAAGATCTAGAGATATTGATAGTTCTAGTGGGCAGCTTGAAAATTGCCTCTGTATGGTGGAATTTGCTTGTCACAAGGGTATCGTGGAGTTGCAGCAGTTCCATGATGACGTGTCATACTTGCACAATCTTATTTATACTAATGGAAGTGATGAAGAAATAAATATCACCATGAATCTTGCCACATGGGAGCAGTTGCCTGACTATGAAAAGTTCAAGATGATGCTTAAGGGAGTCAAAGATGATAAAATTGTGGAAAGATTACGTGAGAAAGCTATTCTATTTATGAAGCATAGATCTCCTGCAAAGGTTTCAGCATCTGAAGGTCAAATCATAGATGATCAGAAGCATAGTGACTCGTTCCTGGTTAGATGGCTCATAGATGCTGCTTCAGAGAATAAATTAGATATATGCTTCATGGTCATCGAAGAAGGTTGTGGAGACTTTCAGACAAGTAGCTTTTTTAGGGATGAAGTTGAAGCTGTAGAGTGTACCTTGAAGTGCATATATGTGTGCACTCTTACAGACAAGTGGAATGCAATGGACTCCATTTTATCAAAGCTTCCACAGATAAGAGGTAAAATGCTTTACATAAACTTTTCCTCAAAGAGTCTATGCATAAGATGAAAAATCATCATGTTCAGGTTGAGGTTAGAAAATTGTCATGTAACAGCTCTTGTTCTGTTCCCTACGGAATTTGGGGTCTTCTTTTGTATCTTTGTCCGTTACTCATTGACAAAATACTGTTGACCATACTCCATTATAAAAGAAATCATAACTTGGAATTGAGTCCTATGGTTACAAAGCATGGGGATATGTTGGTCTCTCTTGCAATAGAAGGAAATGTATACTAAAGGTCTCAGTTCTTGGACACACCTAGGCCAAAGAATTTTGAAATTTAACAAAGATTATGGAATTATAAGAAATCCTCATTCTCCCCTATTTAGATCATTAACGTCTTCATGCAAAATGTCCATTTATTTCCTAATACTTTCATGGCATATTTCCATTTCCTTGAGTAACCTAAATGAAATATTACTAGAATGATATATTCACCAAAGAAAACTACCAGAGCTCTGTGGAATGCATGAGATAGTATTATAAGATAGATTGGCAACAATATTGTAGATACGTGGAATATCAGTATTATTTGCCTACATAATGAAATTGATGACCACTTTGAGCTAGGTTGATATTCTTGTTTGATGTGATGCTAAATCTTAGTTTTTATTTGTGTAACTGATTATTTGGTTAATTTGTTGGAATCAATTGCACTTTCTGTGAGTTTAAGTTTTCCTTTAACTTAATGTAGTTTAAACTCTTAAAAGCTATAAGACAACTTTGTAGCATATTATTTCGTTTATTAACCCTGGTTTGTTGGTTTTGTTTGCTGCCATGTCTAGCATTTTTACAATATTTCCATATGATATTTACTACATGCTTCCTACATTTGGATTTACTGATATTTCCACTGACATCAATATTTTAAATCATGTCTTCATGTTGACAGCTGCTGGGCACCATGGCACATAGCTTTAGCTCACTTTGTTCTACTCACTCAAGTTGTCTTGCAAATTCCAAACCTAATTTGATAGGTCATTGAGTTTTATTTGGTTATGTAGATACTGCCAACAGACTCTGAAAATCCGATATCCAATCCGACATTCGATCAGATTATACAGATTATATTACATTTGGAGTGTTAAAACCTGCATCTGATTAATAATTGGATTGGATGTGAATTTGATCCCATCTGGTCTTATAAGTATTCAAGTCTGATTATATGCAATATAATAATGCATATATATAGATGTTATGTATACTATTTTATATTTTTATATTTGCAGAAAATATATTTTTTATATATGTATAAGTTAAAAACTGTTAGAGTTGACAGTACAGGGGTATTTTGGTCTTTTGGTTTATCTAGTTAAAAGTGAAAGGTCTGCTTTATTCAAGTTTAAGTTATGTGTCCCATCACTTGTATGGGACAATACTGTCTTTTTGTAACTCAACTTATTCACTATAAATACAAAGTGGGCCGGTTAGAGTGGGTGACTTTTCCTCTACTGCCGAACCCTTCAAACCTGAACTGAATAAGATTATTTACGTGGTATCAGAGCAATAAGAAATCAGTTCCTTTTCTTTTCTCATCGCCCTTCGTTTTTTTTTTCTGAGTTTGCCGCCAGCCATATCAGTTTTTTTTAATATCTTCTAGACAGATTGGCAGTTTGACAAGGGGCTTAAAAGGAGTGGTCGTTTTTTGTTTTGGGAGGTAATTATGCCTCTGGTTGCTGTGGTGGTGTACTAGATTCCCTCTATTCTATGATACGAAGAGGGCTGGTTGTGGATAGGTCTGAACATAAATATCTTTCACCCAGTAGAGGACTGCAGATGCTTTCTTTTGTACTAGATTTCCTTTATGTGGTGGAGTGAATCGGTAGGTATGCATAAAAGCCTCTTTTCGTTCTGTTTATAACTGGATATGTGAGTTGAAGGTAGGGTTTTTTGAATGCTGAATTCGTGACAGCAGTAGCGTGGTCATAATTATATTCTGTTGAGTAGTGTGTGGTGTGGTGCTGAATATCGAAGGTGAATACTTTGTCTATAATAGTGATTCCGTTGTGAAGTAAGGTGAATTAGTTAAGATGGCATCAACCGGAGATGGGAGTGACAATAAAACAGGTGTTGTGATTTCTCTAGGTTACCTAAATGTTCAAATGACATCTATTAAGTCGAATGGTGAGAACTATGTGCTGTGGGCCAAATCTGTGGAGGTGTTTTTAAAAGCCAAGAAAAAGGTAAAACATGTGAGAGAGGAGAAACCCTCCTCTGATTCTCTAGGGTTCAGTGGTTGGGAATAGGAGGATGCACAAATCATGACCTGGTTGTGGAATAGCATGGAACCTAAAATTAGTGTGAATTTTATTTTCCCAGATACAACTAAAGAAATTGGGGACCATGCTAAGAAACTTTACTCCGACCAAGATAATACTACTAGGGTATATCAGTTGTACCAAGAATACTTTAATCTGAAGCAAGGTAACCAAAGCTTGGAGGAATACTATGCAAGCATGAGAAATATCCGAAATGATCTTAATGTATATCTTTCTATGACACCAAATGTTCAAGTTCAGCAGCAACAACGAGAGCAACTTGATGTGACAAGATTCCTAGTGGGTTTGAAGGCTGAATATGAACTTATCCGAGCACAAATACTGGGGGGGGGGGTCTGCTCTTCCGTCGAAGAAGTGTTTGCCTGTCTTCGGAGGATATCTATTGAGTTTACAGAGTCTTCTTCTCTCTCGGACAGATTTGGTTTTGTGGTGATTAGAGGGGGAGGTTGTGGAAATAGAGGTGGTGGAAGTGCTGGCCGTGGGTTTCCAAGAAACCGAGGTGGTCCTATGTTTAATTGTTCTGGTGGCCGCAATGGAGGTTGAGAGTTAGGGGGAGGTCGTGGTAGAGGAAGAAGTAATGCACTTAGAAAATGCACATACTGTGGATTAGAGGGGCACACTGTTAATTTCTGCTATGATTTACATGGCCCACCCAACACTTGGGCTAACCATGCTGTGACTAGTGGTAGTGGTATAGTTAGTGAAAATCAGCACATTGATCACATCTCTTCTAATCCAGTCTTCCATGAGAGAACAAAGCATATTGAAGTCGATTGCCACTTTGTAAGAGAAAAAGTGATTAGTGGGGTGATAATTACATCTCATGTGAGCTCAGGAAACTAGTAGATAGATCTCTTTACAAAGGGACTATCTTGGGGCAGAGTAGATTACATATGTGACAAGCTGGGACTATAAGACATAAACTCTCCAGCTTGAGGGGAAGTGTTAGAGTCGACAGTACAAGGGGTATTTTGGTTTATCTAGTTAAAAATGAAAGGTCTGCTTTATTCAAGTTTAAGTTATGTGTCCCATCACTTGTAAGGGACAGTACTATCTTTTTGTAACTCAACATATTCACTATAAATACAAAGTGGGTTGGCAAGAGTGGGTGACTTTTCTTCTACTGCTGAACCCTTCTTTTCTTCCTTCTCTTCTCTTCTTCTTCTTCTTCTTCTTCTTCTTCTTCTTCTTCTTCTCATACTTCAAACCTGAACTGAATAAGATTATTTACAAAAACAATTAAATTTTTATTTTTCTTTATTTTATTGAGGATAAAGAAAAGCCAGATTACGTTCAAATCCAATCCAAGTTTGATATTTTGGGTTTTGGATCGGATTTGGGTATAGAAATTTATTAATTGGATCAGATTCGGATGTAGATGAATCTGATCCGATTTCAATTCTAGCTAATAGGGGAAACCGTGGTGGTCAATTACTAGGTAAACTTAGCTAGTGCATGGGCACTTGGTGCTCCCATTATTGTACTGAAAGAATCATTTAGTGCAAGGAGATTATGTATACTTGGAAAAAGATACACAAAAATTAAGTAGTTGTGGCACTTCCCCTTGGAGAATGATAGATTGTGGCATAAAGTGGTTTCTAGTATTCATGGACTTTCTAGGAATGGTTGGGATGTCGGTATTCTGCAAAGAGCCAACCAAGCTACACCTTGGAAAGCAGTGCATGGTATTCTTCTTCAATTTCTTGAGCACATCAGGTATGGCTTGGCTTCTGGCAATAGGTGTAGATTCTGGAAAGATGTGTGGGCTGGGGATCTGCCTTTGAAAGTTGTCTTCTCTTTTTTGGGTCTTCTTCCTCTGGGAGGGTTGGAACTTGGGGTTTGTGAGAAACCTGAGAGAGACCGAAATCCTTTTAGTGTGTAACCTTTTGAATATCTTGGATAACCTGGTTTTTGATGAGTCTGGGGACGACAGACGAATGTGGGATCTCAGCCCCTCTGGGTCATCTACTTGTAAATCCTTTTTCTCTTCACTAGTGGCCCCTACTCCATCCCATTCCTTACCTCTAAAAGAAGTTTGGTGTGCTCCATATCCCCCCAAAAGTCAGTGCTTTATGTTGGGAAGTTTATCATGAGAGCATCAATACAGGTGATTTGTTGCAAAAGAAAAGACCAAATTGGTGTGTCTCCCAATTGGTGCATTTTGTGTAAGTTGAATGAGGAGAGTGCTTTCCATCTCTTAATTTCCTGTCCTTTTGCTTGTTATATTTAAGAATGGTTCTGCTCTCTCTTTGGTTGTAGGTGATCCCATCTGTTAGTTTGGAAAGTCTCTATACCCATCCTTCAATTCTTAGATGTGTTACCTCCGAACAAAATGCTTTAATTTTGGATCATATTGTTCTTTTCCAAATAGCTTGCACTAGAAATGCCCTAAGAGAAGGGAAGAAGGATACAACTTGAAAGAAAGCGGCTCATGTGAAGGTATCCAATCAATTAGGAGTACAAACTATACTATTAGGGATAGAGAGGTCAAGGAAAGCAACCTCCTAAAACTACAAGAGACTATAGTAAGATGCAATTCAAATTGTTTGAACTCTCTCTCATCTAGTCCAAGATCCCAAGAATTTCCTGCCACGTAAATTGAAGCACACTTTCCTGTTATTTATCAAAAA